GAGAGAGAGAGAGGATATGTGTACTCACTTTCTTTTGTATCACATCTTATTTCTGTACGATGAAATAAATTTTATATTTAAAAACAAAATTATCAAAATATTTTATTGCAAACAAATCGTAACGTCGTAGAAACGCGAAACGTAAAAATTAAATCCTTTTTTATAATCTTTTTATAAGTATATGAAAGTCATAAAAAAAATGTATATTTATATATTATTAATGTAAAAATGAAGAAAGTTTCTATGAGTATTTGATACGGTGATTCTAGAGGAAGAGAGGATAGTGTAGAAGATAGCAGAGACGGGAGTAGCTCGAGTCATCGCGAGCCTCGATCGACTCCAGATTGGGGACCAAACGCATTTAATGGAGAACATCTTTGGGTACCAACCGCTACATCCGGCGACTTCTGTTACGTCAATGATTGTTCTGTAAGTTCTGAAGATCATAGAACGAAGAATGAACGTTTAACAATTTTAAGAAAAAAAAAAAAAAGAAAAGATGCATTCGAGAGGAATTAATCGAACAAATCGCTACGTGTTCTTTCATTTTTCTCCACTTTTAGAAACACGGACCCCGATTGAAGTGTCCGGCATGTCGTGTGGTGGCTCACGCCTGCTGCGTAGGAAATTTAGAGTTCGCCTGCAAGCCGAGCTTCCGCGATGTGGGTGTGCGTCAATATCGCGAGCAAACGACGACCCATCACCACTGGGTTCATCGACGATCCCAGAAAGGCAAATGCGCCAATTGCGGCAAGTCCTTCCAATCGAAGCTCAGCTTCAGCTCGAGGGAGATCGTGGCGGTGAGCTGCAGCTGGTGCAAAGCCGCTTATCACAATAGAGAGTCATGTTTCAATGTACAGAAAATAGGTGAAAATTGCGAATTGGGCATCCACGCTTCCATCATGGTACCACCATCATGGATTGTAAAACTTCCCCGTAAGGGTAGCTTCAAGAGTAGCTTGAGAAGATCACCCAGAAAGAAGAAATCCGGCAGCGGCGGTAGTGGCACATCCATTCGCCGGAAGAATAAAGAAAAAGAGAAAGAGGAAAGGGAGAAAGAGAAAGAAAGGAAAAAGATCAGGGAGAGTTGTGGATCGTTAAGCCCATACCCACGGCCACGATAAAGCCAGTTTTGGTTTTTATAAATCCGAAGTCTGGTGGTAATCAGGGAGCGAAATTACTGCAAAAATTTCAATGGCTGCTTAATCCAAGACAGGTTTTCGATCTGACGCAAGGTGGCCCAAAAATGGGGTAAGTAAAGCGTTCCGCTGAATCGTGTAGTAGAAAGAAAAGTATGGAAGGAAGAAATAATTTGGAGTCGGTTAATTAAACGAAAATGTCGATCTTGTAGACTGGAGCTCTTCAGGAAAGTTCCAAATTTGCGTGTGTTGGCTTGCGGCGGCGACGGTACGGTCGGCTGGGTCCTATCAATTCTTGATCAAATCGGTGCTTATCCAGCGCCGGCGGTCGGGGTGCTTCCTCTGGGCACCGGAAACGATCTGGCGAGAGCGTTGGGATGGGGAGGCGGTTACAAGGACGAGCCTATCGGCAAGATTTTAACGAGCATAGGTGACAGCGAGACCACCCTGCTAGACAGATGGCAATTGAAGGTCGAGAGAAATCCCGACGCCAAAAATGACGACGACGGCGGCAAGGGCAAGGAAAATCTGCCACTCAACGTCGTCAACAATTACTTCTCTCTCGGCGTGGACGCTCATATCGCCCTCGAATTTCACGAAGCTCGAGGTGAGGCTCCTCAAATTTCTACTTGCATTAAGTTATGTTGAAATTATTAAGTTACGATACATATTGTGATCTTAGTTTGAATGAAAAACTGATCGCGTGATCGAACAAGCTTTTCGATGACATCTTTGATCTTTCGTTGATGTCGACAATTTTTTCTTGTATTTTTTCATTTTTATTCATTTTTTAAATCAAGATTTTCTACGTTTGTTATGAGATGCATTGTATGTAAAAAAAAAAGAAATTTCGCCTAATAAATCCACTGCGATCCGCTTGTAGAGGCTCACCCGGAGAAGTTTAACTCCAGAATGAGGAACAAATTATTCTACGGGCAGATGGGCTGCAAAGACTTGCTGCTTACAAAATGGAAGGATCTCTCGGATTTCGTGACGTTGGAATGCGACGGTCAGGATATGACGCCGAAATTGAGGGAGCACCGGGTTCACGCCATACTGTTTTTAAATATCGCTTCTTACGGCGGTGGAACGCATCCGTGGAGCGCGGGAAGTGGTTCCAGAGAGCCTGCCATGGACGATGGCTTGATCGAAGTAGTCGGTCTGACTACGTACCAATTACCTCTTTTACAAGCACGTGGACACGGCACCTGCATAGTGCAATGCAGCACGGCCAAGTTGGTCACAACGAAGACTATACCGATGCAGGCAAGTATAATACGATATCTTCATATCGTATTTCAAATTGGCATTATTTTAATAGCAACTCTTTATGTACGAGATGTAATCCAAAATCAATCTTTTCCTTCTTTCTTTTTTTCTTCTCTTATTACATGAGTTGTTTTTTCCAGAAATATATTTCCAAATTGCTTTATTTTTTAATATATCTTCGAATATTAATCATAAATTTGCGGATAACATTTTAATAAAAATTTAATTAAAAAGAAACTATTTTACAAATTCTACCTAACAATGTTATATTTTATGTAATTTAATGTTTTATAATGTTATAGGTCGACGGTGAAGCTTGTCGCTTATTACCATCTATTATAACTCTAAGTATGTTAAACAAGGCTACGATGTTAGCGAAAAGAAGAAACACAGGAAAGCCACATCAACACACAGCGAGATTAGATAGACTGAAGCTACCCGTGATGAGGATAAAAATGACGGATTACGAGACTTATCATCATGACAAAGATAGATTGAAGGAAGTGGCAGAGTCATGGCTCACGGAACCTCTAGATCTTGAAGCTACAACCGATCTGGATAGCCTGAGGAAGATCTTGGCGAAAGATTATAATATGGATTCGTGCTGTTTCCTTGATTGTGAGTTTCGTCTCGTATAAATTACATGCAAATCGATACGGTTTTTCTATGCGAGAAATATGTATGATTTTTACTTTTCTAGCATGCACCGCGGAAAGATTCTTCAGAATCGATCGCGGTCAAGAACAATTGCATTTTGTGACGGACGTTGCCGTGGATGCCGTGTACATACTCGATGAAGAAATCGCGCAACAGCAAGAAGGCCAGGCGGAATCTAGCCGGATTGTCGCGAATCAGGAAGCCGAGACCATCCGCGTGCCGAGGTACGCGAGATATTTTCGTACGGATCTACCATCTGTATTTTTTTTTTTCTTTGAAACATATGATGTGATATATGATATAGCGACGAACATCTAAAGGAGATGCCAGCTGTGACAGAAGGGGAGAAACGGCCGAACGAAGACGCGCGGAAACAGGAACAGCCGTCCTCAGCCGGGAAGATCAAACTTTCCAGGCAGCCCGAGAGCATTTCCTTCGACAGAGAATTCGAGGGTCAGGATGGTGTCAGGCCGAAAAATCCGGCGAGTCGGAATTCCTCGGACGTGTCGTCGAGCGAGAAGAGAAACGGCGAGTCGAACTCTTTTATAAGCCGCGAAGCTTTGAAGCAGAATTCCCGTGTGATCGCACGTGCCGAACAGTCGCAACATCAGGCTGACCGATCTCTCGCTTTTATCAGGTAAGACCCTCGGAATCGAGGGTTAGTTGGTTATTCGAATGATCTGGGGTCGAGAAGGGTGTCCACGTATAACATTAGGTAGAAGACGGGGAATCTCCAATGAAGATCACTGGCGGCTTTCAAAGCGTAGACCTTTATTCCACACCAGTGCCTTTTAGGTAGCGTAAAGTAAAAGGTACCGCGATTCTCGACGATATATTATGGATTATTCTAAAGAAAACTCCACGTGAGCCTCCACTCTTTCTGCGATGCGTTACGTAAACCATTGCTCGATCGTGCGCTTCGATTATCTTTGCTCGGATAATTTATTCGGATAATAATTTACTATCCACGGTGTTGCGGAAATAATTTCGAGAAAAATCATATATTTTTTGCCTTCTTTTCTTGCAGCCCTCGCGATAGACTGTTCGGCCTTACCTCGGGAGTTCACGAATTCTCTGCTGATTTACTCGAGAAGAACTGCGATGAGATACTAAGAGCGGCGAAGATCGGCGATCTATCGACGTTGAAGCAGCTTCATCAGAAGAGATACTCGCTTTTGTCGATCGACGAAACTGGTCAAACGGCACTGCACCTGGCGTCGAGGCATGGTCACAAGGATATCGTCCGATATCTCATTGCCTGCGCCCCGCCGACGATTTTAAACATGATCGATAATGATAAGTAAGTTGACTGCAAAACAATCTCGAAGGAAATTCACGTTCAAAATCTGCGAGAAATTAATCTTAATTAATTAATTAAGCGAATGTATCATTCGTTGTAAACTCGTCAGTTCTCTCATTTTATTCCCATTGCATTTTACTCGTCTTGATTCCGATAAGAAGAAGAATAAGAATTTTTATTTTTATTCCAGAGGGCAAACCGCTTTGCATAAAGCCGCCCAGAACAAACGCCGTTCCATTTGCTGTATGCTCGTAGCCGGCGGCGCGTCTTTGATGGTGAAGGATCGGCACGGGAACACGCCGCATCAGCTCGCGCTGATCGCGGAGGATCACGACCTAGCTGCGTATCTGCAAAGTGAGTAATCGCGTAATCGTCCTTCTGGTCATAGAACTGAATCTTCTCGTAACAGTCGATTTGTCAAATTAGAAAAAATATTTTATAACTTCGAGACGATCAGTGAAATCCCGTTCCGTTCTTCGCGTAACTCCAAGTGTTTTCTAATTATATATGATTTATAACTAGAAGATTTACAAGTGCTTGTGCTTGTATCACTAGGTCAAGAACACTTTCAATTGGCGACGGACGAGATGGAGAGCGATCTTTGACCTCCAGAGTTGATTTCCACGGCCTGAACCGCCTTGAACGACTGTGACGTAAGAGCCGCTACTGTCGACTTTCTGACGACGTTTTTTGCGGCATTTTTCTCGGCGACGTAACGTAAATCGCCACGTGATAATCTGATATTCCTTCGTATGTTTGACGTCAACGATTACGTGTTTGCCAAATGCTGTCGTATTTTTCTTGTCGGTACTTCGAAATTATTCTCTAGGAACAACAATTTCACACTACACATATATATAGAAACACACACACACACATACACACACACACACACACACACACACACACACACACACACACACACAGAGAGAGAGAGAGAGAGAGAGAGAGAGAGAGAGAGAGAGAGAGAGAGAGAGAGAGAGAGAGAGAGA